AAATATAGTGCGTCTAAATATATATCAATGTACATTATAATTTAAAAATACGTAGATAACGTGAGAATCGAGGAAGATAAAATAAGGACTTTGGCTCCAATTAATATATCAGGTTTAGTGATAAAACTTTAGACGGGCCGCCTGCGACCGCTCGAAAAAATTGAATTTGAGCCTAACATTCGAACCTGTCCACCCGAAATTTTCAGGCCGCCACCCAAGCCCGAGATGACCCATGGACGGGCTGCGGGAATGGTTTTGGCTACCTAAGTCCGTCTAAATGTATTGAAAGCTTGTTCGGATGAAACTGTGGAGACTGTGATTAAAAATATATCCATTACAATCGAGTTAAGACTGGCCAAGTTAATGCTCGTACCCTCCACCATTGAATGAAATCAATAAATCTCCACTACCGTCGACTTTTAAGCTCTCACTGAGGTATGTCATAAGCTTGTTGAAGCCGCCGCCGCTGCCGCCTGTTGATGAAGATCCACTCTCAGCTTTTGTTTGACTCATCTTCTTCTTCTTCTTCAACCTGAAAACAATCATTATTGAATGCGGGTTTTTATCTCTTTGTTGCGGTTCCTGTACTCCAGAATTTGTGTTTCTAAACCTATTCTCATATTTGCTATAGAGAGAATATTTTTTCCTTTATTTTAGGAAATTGATCAGAACAATTGATGCCTAAAAATTTACATAAGTTTTTTAAACCTTCTAATTTTAATTTAGGATAAAAAATAGTACCAAAACCATACAACATTGACAATTTAGACCAATATTTTTCAAATTTATTTTCCATAAAAGCGATATGAACTTCTAAAATTGGGTCCTTCCTACATTCATTAAATAAAATACTAAATCTTAAAAGTTCATCTAAAGCTAGAGGTGATGTTGGGCAATATGTTTCACTAAGTTTTAAGTAACTTTATAAAACCTACCTAAAAACTTATACAAAATTTTGACAATTTACCAATCATATACGTATATACGTCCTGCTCCTAATTTTACACTAATATAGTTTGTTATAGCATCCTTATAGGAGATGCATTGTTGAAGCATTATATAAGTTGAATTCCATCTTATAAGCATATCTAGGGCTAATGCTCTAGGAGTTAAATTTAGTACTTGTAAGAACCTGAACCAATCTTGTTCGCGTGGGTTACTACCTTGAATCCATGCAATACTTCCTTGTTTGCGTAGATTTAGTAATGTCCGGTTACAGCGAAATAATCTTTATTGGCAACGGCAGACCAAATGTCTGCCATTAACGCAACGCCACCACTAGTAGAGTGTAAAAGGTTTATTAATGCTTCTTTTTCTTGTTTAAATACTTTTAACAAATCTTTCCTAATAGTAGTTTTTGAAGTAAATTATGCATTAGGATTGTGTACAACTTTAATATATCGCTGTTAATTAGAATGCTCTACAAAACTAAGTGGTTGATCTAATGCAGCTATCATTTGCGCAGCTTCCATACGATCTACTTGCGGGGTATATTTTCAAGTGGTTAGACTACCGGTTGTGTAATCAAAAGATAATTGTGTTTGATGGAGTTCGGCTCCGCCGGTTTAGCCACGCTTTTGAAGACACTTTTCGAAGTGTCTTCTCAAGTGTGGTATGCCGTGAATGTGCCACCTTGTAATTTAGAATAACAATATTCACATTGAGCTATGTGTTTAGTATTACTGTCATTGTCGACCTCCTCAATTGTGTCGAAGTGATCCTAAACTGTCGAAATGCGCTTGCATTTCCTCTTGAAGCTTGCAACACTTGTTGTAGCACTTGCACTTGCCTCTACTCAACGCCCATCGCCATTACGACTATGACCTCCACTATGTCCATCAAGGCTTGGATTTGCAGGTTCCTCAGTTGCATATGTTTGCGATGCCTGCGTAATAAATTCATTAGTATGAAATTTACATTCTTCCACGTTCTGTTAGGCATCAACAGGAATACCACCGTAACCAAAAGAATCTATTATAAAAAAATAAGAGTGATTTAAGAGAGAGAGAGAGCTTTAGGATATTGTGTAAGTTATTAGAAAAATTGTGAGAGAGATTGAGAGAGTTTGGGTGAGAAAAATGTTTGGGGGATGAGAAGTATTTATAAGAAAATTTTTGAGTTAAAAATTTGATTTTTCCCCCAAAATTCAGAACCAATGGCTAGTTGTATACTCGGCGGGTCGGGTTCAGACAGAAAATTAGACAACGGTATTAAAAAAAGCCGTTGGGGGTTGGCCTCTCGGGCGGTCTGGTCGGGCGCCAAAATTTGAAAAACTAGCCATTGATGGGGTTTGGGCATCCGGACTAAAATTTGGGCTGGATGGAAAAAATTTTAAAAAAAATCGGCAATCCACGGTCGAGAGTGGTAATTCAACGGCAAGCTTCCTCCATGCGGTTGTTTCTTGGGCAGCCCGAGCCCACTCTAGTGCTTGACGGGCAGCTATGAGTCCCTGTCCATCAAGCCTACCCAAACTTCCAGCACGGATCAGGTTCAAGATCTTATCTCGAGTCAATTTGACAGTATTCTGCTGTGGAATTAATTAAATCATGCCATACCACTGCAAAAATTAATTTTAAATTTTCGGGAATGACAAATTTTTGCCTCCATTGGTATCGTATCTGATCAATCTGTAGCTACTATTCCTAAGAGATAAGACATCCTCGATCAAGCTGGTCCATACATGTAAATGAATATATTATTGTCATTATCGCAGAGCTTCTTATTATATCCCAATATTTTAGTGATGATTGCGACCTTTTCGTTTTAAAATGATCATTTTGTCGGCAACGTAAAGAAGTATAAATCCCTAGGCAGCTTGAACATATTGTTATTGTGAATAGATCAGCACAGATCTATCGAAAAAGGAACGGAGAAAGCAAGTTGGCTTTTCCCTTCCTATTTCAAAATATTATTCACGTTGTTATTTTAGTATTTTTCACTTCTAAAATATTTGAGCTCTACCCTAATAAATTCCATTGAAATATATTTTTACCCTAATAAATTAACGCTCAACGCAAAAGTAACCTGACAATAAATAAATGAGTAGTCTTTTTTTTCTTCTCTCCATACACCCCACACATCATATGTCTAAATTATAAATTATTGCTATTCTCGGATCCATAACAAAACTCTAATTTTCACTTTTTAATGACTATTAAAAAATTATAAGGAGACATGTTAAATTTTCTTTATTATTTGTTGTTCTTTTTTGGTTTCGTACTTATAATCATTTTTTAAAGTAATTATTTCACTTTTTTTTTCTTTTTTTTTTTCTCTTTTTTTTCTCCAAAGGGTCCAATTGTTGGGACCATTAAGTTGTTGTCCGGCCTCTTTTGGACTATAAAGTCATTTCCATTTTTTTTAAGAGAAAAACATTTCATCGAATAGCAACGAAACAGAGTACAGAACAAGAGCCCTACGGCCAAAAGGAAACAAGCCGACTATCACAAATTAGCGAACTCAGAAGCTGGAAGTTTATTTCCATTGAAGAGCAATTTATTTACATTTCTCGTTTATGTCATATGTAAAGTTGCTAATGAGCTATAAGTTATGGTTGGATTGGATCAGGTGGCTGATTGCAACTTTATTCTTAGTTAATGAAATCCCTTATAGAACTATAAATAAAATAAAAAAACCATGTCCAATGCTTCAACGAAAAGATATAGATAAACAAAGGAAATATTAAAGTAACAAATTAATTATATGAGGTGTATGGTTAGAAAGGGGACATAGAACATATAAAAAGGGTTAGAGTAGAACCATTCTCAATAATTTTATAAAAATAATTTAAGATAAATTTTGAATAATAGTGTTATCGGTGTGTACAAAGTAGTAAATATAATAATTTTAAAATTATATGAGATGTGTAATTAAAAAGAAGTGTGAAGATTTAAAAAAAAAAAAAAAAAAGGTGAATAGAACCACCTAAGCAAATACATATCACATCTTATTTATGATATTTACTTTTTTACAATGCCAACATGCACCAATAATCGTACGTGCTAAATAGTTGAAACTTAAAAAGCAATATTAAAGAACTTTACCAAACAGGGCTACATTGATGACGATCAACACCTCTCTTTGAGGAGGTTTTATTAATTAAAAACTTAAAAAAAAAAAAAAAAAAAAAACTTGAAGCGGAAAATATCCATCTTCAGTTCAGAACTGCAGTACTAAAACCGTAGGATCCAAATGAATCCAAATTTCATCCATATTTTAGCTCTTGGTCTTGACTGTCCCGGCTTTAGTCAACGACGTGAAGGTGACCTTTGACCCCACCAAGAACACTTCATCCGTGCAAGTAAAAGTGTCGTAACGCAAAAAGAACTCCACCAGCATAACCCTAGCGACCAGCACCACCAGATCCCTCCCCGCGCACTGCTTGTTGTCCGCCGTCGGAGCCTCCGTCTCCCGGCCGTTGGACCAGTACACGTACTTGAGATTCGCCTCGGCCTTGCCCATGAACCTGTACGGCACGAAGGTCTCGGGATTCTCAAAAACCTTCGGGTCCTTGGTCGCAAACGGCTGGTACCCGAAGATCATCTCACCTTTCTTGATCTTAAACGACGCATCATGGCTCTGGATCACCAGGTCCTCCTTGGCATGCGCGTACTGGAACGGCACCGGGGGATCGATTCTCAAAACCTCGTACACCACTGACTTCAGCAGCGGCATCTTCTCCAGTGCCGCGAAAGTGACCACCCCGCCTATAAAAGGAAAAATAAATTCGAATCTTACGTCATTTAAATATAAAAACACGCGTCAATGCTTAATAGATTGATGAAACTTTTAAATATAAAAATATAATTAAGTATCGTTTATTTTATTGATTTACTTTTTAATTTAAATTAATATGTTATTTTATGTAAAAAATTTTTATTATAATAAAAAATTAAATATCATTAATTTTTAAAATTTTTTATTATAATAAAATTTAAATTAGTAAAATTAACGGGCTTAAAGTCTGATCTGAGATGAAACTTCTATTATTACCTTCTTGCTTCACCACGTTCCTTATCTCCTTTGCCAGGTTGGCATGCCACGTGGGACCGGCGCGTCCGAGCCACTTGAACAGGCTCGGGAAAAGGACCTTCAACCCGCCGTAGGTGTTGAAGCACGTGAGGAAAATCAAGTTGTGACAAGCCTCGTCCCTCTCGAGCCCAAAGTCCTTGGCTTGGTCCAATATAGGGCTGGCCGCGGAGGAGAAAGCTTCGAAAATGGTCTTATACTTACCCTTGACGAGAAAAGCCGGGATAGGAAAAGTGTGGATCAAAAGATCTTCCACAAGCTGGAGAAACTTGGGAACTCCTACGGATACGAGAGGTATCACTTGTGGGACCAACCAAATGTCGACGGTTTTGTTTCCCTGCGCACCAAGGCCCGTCTCCGACGGGCTCTTGTCGCAGAATAATTGGAAAACGTAGTTGAAAGAAGCGTTGTCGCTTATGGGGTTAAAGTTCACTTCTTTGCTCTTCGCCAGTTGGGATTCCAAGTTGTTAAAGAGCTCGGTGAGGGATTTTCCCAAGACGGGAATGAAGTTGTCGTGCTTGGAAGCAAGGACATTGAAGAAGTAGCTCTTCAAGGCGTTGTGTTTCGGCTCCGAGGGGTCGAGGAACGAGAGGACGCGGTAGCCCCCGGTGAAGTTCACCGAGGGCATGTAGGTGCCGTCGAAGACGTTCTTCTTCTCGACTTTCGTGGTGTCGAAGAGGATCGGAAAGCTGACGGCGTCGAGGAGGACGACTACCTTGGGGTCCTTGGCGATGAAAGGGCCGGGCGGGGCGTTGGCTCGGAAGACGGTGGACTTGTACTTCTCCTGCCGGGCGCTGAAGAATCCGTCCCGGCCTTGGTTGTAGTAAAAGTCCCACCGATCAAGGACGGCGCCGATGAGCGGCGCGCCGTAGCTGCCGGGGATCTCTTTTAGTGGGAGGTCCTGATCGTCTTCTGGTGGGTTGAAGAAGAAAGGCTGTTCTTCATCGAAGGGGTGGGGAATAGGGTAAGCTGGAGTTAGTGAAGACATATTTTGATATTATGATCGTATAATGGGGCAAAATGCTGAAATTCTAATGCGTGGATGTTTAGAGTTTGTGTAGTGGTCTATTTATAGATGGTATTAGGAACACAACAATACGGGAATTCAGTAGTAATTTTTAATTTGTGTTAAAATGTGATTTTATATAAAAAAAATTTTATTATAATAAAAAAATTAAATATAATTATTTTTAAGAATTTTTTACCAGATTTAGTTAATAATTGTCGATTATCAATAATAGTAATCTTGGGTAGATGAAATATCGATATGAACAAGAAAAACGTGTTGTTTGTGCGCAAGAAAAAGTAGGTAATCGCATGGCCTATAGGTGTCAGCATTTGTATTTTTTGACATTGACACACTGGAAATGTTAAAACAGCCAAGGCGTGGAGATATATGGTTGCTAATAGATTCATATATATAGCAATTATATTGAAGTTATTTTTTGAATTCTCACCTCATTTTTTTAAAAGATTATCTTCACATGAACCCCTACGGTCAATTTTACTTTATTTATCAAACTTAAAAAACTCACTTTACTTTTTAAATTTTAAATTAAACTCATTTAATCACCTCTGTCAGAATTTTTGTTGAAAATAATAGACCAAAAAAAAAAAAAGAAGTGATACTCTAGTTACGTTCTCTTTCTGAAAGAAGTAAAATTAAAAAGATACAGACCATATTATCACACTTTATTCTCTCTTTTTTCATTTTTTTAATAAAAATTATAAGAAATGAGGTTAAGAAGGTAAAAGTTTTAAAAAACTTAGGGACAAACTAAAAATAATGACTCTAAAATTCAAGGGTATAAATACTATTAATCAGCTTTTAGAAAGAAAGCACATTATGAACGATTTCTAGTAATTAACACTAGAAGGGGAAAAAAATAGATGTATTAATTTTATCACAAGGACTGAAAACTTCTTCAACTTTTAGCATATTGATTTCGGGCTAATTCAGCAAAAATATTAATTTTGGGTTACGTTACAATTTTTACAGTAGGGATGTCAATATAGTAGAGTTGAAAAGAACCACATTGCTCAATTAAAAAAATCACGTTAATTGTATATCCTAAATCGCAAAATGAAAAAAAAAAAAAAAAAAAGTAAAAACTCGTTTATTTCACTGCTTCGAGTTTAAAATTCGAGTCTTATTACAGTAAAAAACTAACAAAAATAATCACATTTAATTTTTTTTTATGAAAAATATTTTCATATAAAATCATATCTCAACTTAAATTAACGAACAGGTAATAAAAAAAAAAAAAGCAAACATAGCGTCGTTATTACTCTTCAACTTTATCGGAAAAAAGAAGTAGAGGTATGCGTTATGTGGCGTGTGGTTTGGCTCCATCAGTCTCCACGAAAGCAAATATTTGAAACAATACTTTTTTTTTTTTTGAAAGTGGAAGGAAAAATGGAGAAAAAAAAAAGCAAAAAATAAAAATAAAAGACAACAAAAAAGAAAAAAAAAAAAAAAAACCCCTATGTAAAACGTGCTAAACGGTTGACACATGTTAATTAAAAATGTGCTAAACGGTTGACACATGTTGAGAGTTTCGGCCAAAACTCATAGAAATTAGTAATATGAGATAGTTTATTTTAAAAGAACAGTTAAAAGGAGTATTAAAATTCACCAACAACAAATCCGCAAAAGAGAACCTCAATTAAAAAAAAAAGTGCAAAAGAAAGACTAATTTAAGTTTACTGCCGAATCTATTGGCTTGAGTCATGTAACTGATGTTAACATATTTGTGGTTCCTATATAATGTGATAGGTGTGAGAAATAATTTGGTATGGGATGCAGGACCCACCAATGTCAATAATTGACAAGTTATATTCAAGCGAAAAAAAAAAAAAAAAAAAAAACTTTCTTGAGAAATACTTTTTTTGCTGAAAAAAGAAATACTTTTTTTTTTGAAACAAATTATATAAGACGTGTTTGGAACTCATTTTAAAATGATTTTATTTTTTTTATATCAAAATGAAAATTAAAATGTTTTCAATCTCAGACAAAAATGATTTATAAAAATGTGTTTGGTAATTTTATCAAGAGATTGTTTTCAGTATAAAAAAACTCATTAATATCTCTCTCTACTCGAGAGATGAGAAAACGAAAATAAAAAATAAAAAATGACTAAAAGTCGTTTTTTAGTTCTCTCTTATTTTACACTAAACTAAAAAATTAATTTCATTTCTATTTTTTATCTTTAATTATATCAAACGCTGTTTTAATATCGTTTTCATTTTTTAAATATAAAAAATAAAAATAAAAATAATTCTAAACACGACAATAATACTTTCTTAAATTTCTTTTCATCGACCCATCCACACGGACCACACCCAATCACGGACTCCCAAAATTAACTTCTACAAATATTCGAATTACGTAGATGTATCAACTCATGGCTACTCTACCATCACTTTGGTTTCCCTTTTCACATATTTGTCCAAAAAAAAAATCCCTCATTGTCATAATTTCTCAAATTTCTTTTTTCACCCTTTATCAGATCCATCAATTCAAAAAATTAACTTAATTAAGCCCCTCATAAGATGTTAATAGAAAATGGTGGTCGCAGACACGATAATAATACAATTAACTCCATCACAAAGGGAGCATTTGATATGTAGGAATCAGTAGAAATCATATTTTCAGGAAAGTGATAAAAGGTAATATGATTCATATGAATAATACATTATTGTGTTTGGTTCTATACATGAATCTTTCTCAAATTCCCAGGAATATGACATTACTGTGTTTGGTTATGTATAGAAATATTGTGAATTAAAAAATATATATTATTTTCAAATAAATTACAATTAGCACTAATATTTTAAAAAGTATAAAATACACACAACAAAGTAGTTCAAAAAATTATCGTATTTAAACTAAATAAGTAAACTTAACATCATTTATCACCAAAAAAAAAATAATAATAAAAAACTGAATTAAAAACTGAATATGATAAATGATGTTTTTACACAATATTATCGTGTAAAAACTGAACCACATCATTCACACAAAAAAAAAATCACAAAACTCAAACTAGATCTAGTCCAAACAAATTCTCCGGCAGAACCACGTCTTCTCCGGCGAAGTCTTCCTCTTTGGTCGAATCATGTCTTCTCCAGCCAAGTCTCTCTCTCCGGTTGAACTCCATCATCTCCGATCAAGTCTTCTTCTCTTCTCCATTACTGTGCGACAGAGGAATGTCCGGCAACGGCATGGTGGATCGGAAGGCGGCGGCGGCGTCCTCGCCGTCACCGTCATCGCCTTCGTCTCCCTGTGCTTCCTCCTCCGCCATCTCAACCGCCGTTGTCTCCGTCACTTCTCGCCGTTATTGTCATCCTCTTCTCTTTCCTCCTCCACCGCCGCCGCCGTCGTCGTCCATGTTGTTGTCTTTGCGAGCGATGTGTTGGTTTCACGATGGCGAGGTGAGATGTTGGGTTTTGCGAAGGAGGCCGGCGAGGTGTTGGTTTCACGACGGAGGCCGACGAGGTGTTGGATTTCACGTGAAGGAAGACATCGAGGTGCTAGTTTCATGACGAAGGGCGACAGTGGTTGGGCTGAGTGACGGCGGCTGGCGCAGGGTGTGGCTAGTCGGTGGCTGTAGTGGTCTAGTTGTGATCGTGGCTATTGGCTTATGTGAGATTCTCACGTTTAGTTAGATTCCTGGACATTTGAATATTACCATGTTGGGTGGGTTTAGGATTACTCCAAAATGTGGTAATGTAAAACACATGGGTTTCACTTTCCTGAGTTTTAAAAAAGTCTAATAATTATACCAAATATGAAAATCTAAAAGATTCTCATTCCCATCTCTATGATTACCCTATACCAAACACCCCTAAAGTGTAAAATTCAAATCTAACTTTAATTTTTTTTTTTTTTTTAAAAAGATGCTAATAAGAAATGACAAGTTTGATCATGAAAAAAATAAAAGGTAGGATCTTTTTAGAGAATTTCTCTCGTAGGCTCTTATTTTGGACTACTGGTAGATAAGGTAAAAAAGAGTTTGACTTTGCTTTGAATTGTGCACATGCCCTTATCACAGTAAAAATTAAAAGTCTATTTAATTTGTTAATTTAAGTAAAAATATGACATTATATGAAAATTTTATATTATAATAAAAAAATTAAATATAACTATTTTTAAGAATTTTTTTATAATAAAATTTAAATTTTAAATTTAAATCAGTAAATAAATCTAAAGTGACAAATAGCAACACGCAAACGTGGCTATTTACTCCATTTGCTTCGTTTAAAACGTTGAAAGGTCATTAATGGTGGGACCCACAAAATAGTTAAAAATATTACTCTCTCTTCAAAGAACCAAATCCTATCCCTGACAATACCTCAGTTTCCTTTTCTTTTTTCTTTTCTTCACGCTTTTTTTTTTTTTTTTTTTTTTTTTTTTTTTTTTTTTTTTTTCTGCTTTATCTTCTTCCTCTACAACCACCGTCATGCTTTCCCTCATCTCATCTCAAGTCGCAAACCAACACAAATACAAATTCTATGTTTGAAGTTTCAAATTTATTTGTTGGGCATTCTAAATCCTCAATTTGTCACAAAATCAAAATAAACATAACTCTTACTAAGTTTGTAGATTCAAATTTTTAATTTAAATTAAAATATAATTTTATAAAATATTTTTTATTATAATAAAAAAATTAAATATAACAAATGTAATAAAATTATAATTAAAAATTTAAATTAATAAAATGAAGGGCCATACTTTTTTTTTTCGCATCCGTCGACATAGCTGAACTATTAAAACTGGAAATTAATAATTAAAAAACCGTGCCAAAATTCACTTGTAGACTCATGCCGGAAGATTTTTAAGCAAAAAAAAATTTCACATCAAATTCACTTCCAGACCCAGGCCAGAAGGTTCTTCTCTTTCATTTGCATGCCCATGCAAGTTTCACATCAACTCTGGGTTTTCTTGCTGCGTCTAAAATGCACTTTTTCAGAATGGGGAGATGACCTTGTCGTTTCCAAACGGGGTGTTTAATCAGCGTTGCTGCGTTCGGGTTTCAATTCCAGATCTCTGTTAAAGTTTTCAACCCAGATTTCAAATTCAAAGTTTAATTAAATATATATACACACATATATACATATATTTGTTTTCTCCTGAACACCACATTCCACGTGGGATTATTTAGGCAGCAATCGGTCCTATTTTTTTCGCTGATTCGAGTTTAGAATTTAAGTTTTATTACAGTAAAAAACTCTCAGAAATAGTCACATCTAACTTTTTTACTACAGTAAAAAACTCTCACACATTTCATATCTCAACTCAAATTAACAAACCGAACGGTCACCACATGATGATCGGTGTCTAGTATTCTATTATAGATTTGGGTTTGAGTTGAAAAAAAGGATAATTTTTACAAATATCATTTAAAAAAGTAAATGAATTAAGATTTTTATCATTCTCTTAATTCATAACTTTTTTAATAAAATAATTACAATAATAAAATAATATTTATCAAAAATAAAAAATAAAAATTTAAACTCATACTCTCACTATAAATTCTCTTTTTTAAAAAAAAAAAAACTTATATATAATTAAAAAATAATTAATATTTCCTCCTCGTTGGCTTGGCTCCACGTGGGATTCTTTAAGCAATAATCCACAACTAACATTTAAAAGAGCAAGCTAGCCTAATGGATGTGCGGAATATTCTAAAGCTCTAAAGAGCTCAAGTACAAATTTTCAAAAAAAAAAAAAAAAGAAAAAAGAAAAGAACTCAAGTACAAAATGCCAATAAGTCTTTATTTAAAATTTCACTAAAACCTGCACATGGATACATAATAATCATTTTCCGTAAACAATTTGTAGTGAGTTAAACCTTCGGATTACTTTAGCAAAAAAAAAAAAAAAAAAATTAAACCTGAGGACTACTCCACGAAAACAACATGCCAATTGCCAAAAAGAGATTAAACAAGAACTTTTCACATTCAATCAAAATGTAAGCAAATATAGCAACTGACTAAAGTAGTGACTAGTTAGGAACCAATTATGGCTAATCAAAGGTATCAAAGTTGGGGAAAACCAAAGCAGTGTGGGAGAAACCTTTTCAGATTTGAAAATTTCTCATAATGTTGGGACAAAGCTGCTAAGGCCAATATCATAGCTTTATAAAAAATTATTTCTTGAAAGTACAAATATTACGCCCTTCCTGCCTTTACTTAATTCTGCATGCACTCACTTCCACTATATTGGCTAAGCCTCTGTAAGGACTTGCAACAACGGCGTTTCGGAGCTGAAATTGTAGAGCCCGCCCTTCCTCCGATCTTCCCTCACAGTCCCTAAAAGATAGACACATCCGGAGGTGGTCCGTACACGGTTTTCCAAGAATATGGGATGAGCCATTTGCTGCCATTATTGCCTAAGCAAAGCCATTAGCACAAATTAATCAGATTTTGGCACCTACAAGGCGTAACTGAATCAGGGTTGTAAGGGAAAAGAGTCGTCGATTTATGAATTTGTCTGGTCTATTGGATAAAAGAAGATATCTGAAGAAAGAAAACAGATTAAGACAAAACCATAGAATTTTCAATTTTTTGCGATTGTTTAAAATGGTGACTGTTAGCAACAGTCCAGGAAATATTCTTTCCAAAAATGGCACAAAGACTATTAGTACGATAGTATGAATGTTTTTGAAGCATATATCACGACTGTCGATTGTGTGCCTACCTAACAGAAGAACGTTCTGCCAGGAAAGGATTTCAAAACGACAACCAAGAGGAAAATGACCATAGAAATGGTCAAAGAACATCTCAGATAAGAACTCGACTTAATCTGGAAATTAATGAACAACTGGGGTTTCAATAAATAAGCATATGTGAATAAACAACATCCTAGTGTCTAGTTTATTAATTCTGCCTAAATTTTTTTTCTTCAAAAGCTGTTTTTTTTTTTTTAAAAAAAAAAAAAAAAAGAAGAAAAAAAAAACAAACGGGTAAGGAAATTTGTTATGCATCAAATTAACAAAGAAACTAACCACTCAAATTACTGGGACTGATTCCGAGAAGTTTGCATGCGGCCTCAGCTAAATTGAAAGCATCAGGTATGTTGTCTCCCTCTGTGCAGTAGCATAATAAGCAGGTGACCTTCAACCCTTTCGCCTGATAAATAGAGATAATAACGAATGCAGTCACCTTATGTAGGCAGATACAATCTATCCAATGTGGACTACAGCATAAAATGTGCAACTCGAAATAAATACATTAAATAGTCTAGAAAATCTAATAGTCTACGGAGAATCAAATCTTACTTTTTCCTTTTTCATGAGGAAAAATAGGAACCCTAGAAAGTAAAATAAGAAGTATGATATTTTCAAAACATAGTTCTTGCCTCAATACAAAGTATCTTCGGTAACAAAACACATAAAACAAGCAAAACAAGATAAGCACACACAAGCACTCCGACATGATTCCATCTAGATTCTAGAGGTTAAATCCTGCCTTTTTTTTTTATTATTTCAGGTCAAAAACGAATTACTGTTCATTCCATAGGCCACAATGTAATTAATAAAGAGTACCTTGAAACAACAATAAAGTGCAGCAAAAGGCAAGCTTGGGTAGTAGTCTTCTTCATCTTCAAAAGGCAATTCCTCATCCAGCATGGCACTGCCTTCTGCTAAAGTAGTGAGATATTTCCATCTTCTTTGTTCGGGGTTATATTCTTGCAGTCTTTTCAAACCAAGAACCTCACAGTAGTCATCTGTTCCATCCTCATTGGTGCTAGATAGGTAATGCACCTGTGAACCACTAGTTTTGAGGCAAAAATCGAAGTCAATATTGCGAACTATACTGAAACTCTATTACAGCCTAGTTACTGAAATAAAAATCACGGGGAGCAAGAATCAAATTTTTCTGGTTGTTTCATAAGAATGTCAACAAAAGGTAATATATGTTGCTTCTAAGTTAGGTTCTGTTAAGCTCCTATTTCTCGGTTAGTAGTATTTTGACAGAATTCAAGGAAAACTAACAGAAAGCTTGATTTGTATTAATGGCAGAAGGTTGATTACAGGAAGATAAGGGGATTTTCGAGAGATCCCTTGCTCTCCTAGGTTTCCACTTCTCAGAAGTTTGAACAAATGAATCGATGCCCCTTTATTCTACCTCCTAATCTATTTATACCACTAACTCTTATTCCTCTCGCTAATTCCAAGAACTAACTAACTAGTAACCGCCTGCTGACTCAGCCACTTCCTATTTCCTCTCCCCGAGTACTTCCCTCCACCTCAGCAACCACTTGAGTTTCAGCTGCCAACCTTGGCTCGTGGTGGCGTTTCCTCCGAGCATATGTAAAACGCACGGGAGGCTTATCATTACCCCCGCCCCAAAGACGCACCTTGTCCTCAAGGTGGAAGTGAGGAAATCGTGCATCAATAGCATCATACGACTCCCATGTATCCTCATGTGCCGGCAAGTGAGCCCAACGGATCAACACCTCTAAATCAGTATGGCCACCGTGAATTGTGTGTCGCACCCCAAGCAGATTAGCCAGCTCCGGGCACATCTTCAAGTCACTTGTCAGCTGGGGTGGCAGAGATGAGATGGCCTGCCCCTGTCCAACCACCCTATGTAGCTGAGAAACATGAAACACATGATGAATGGTCGCCGAGTCTGGCAAAGCCAAACGATAAGCGACTGGCCCCACACGATGCGTACTCCGAAAGGGACCATAGAAACGCGGGCTCAACTTCTCATTACGGCGGCGAGCCAACGAAACTTGATGGTAGGGACGAAGCTTAAGATACACCAAGTCGCCCACGGCAAACTCCACATCTTGCCGTTTACCATCCGCAACCGCTTTCATCTTTTGTTGAGCCCGAAGAAGGTGGAATTTGAGTAGATCCAACATGGCATCTCGATCCTGTAGCTGGCGCTCCACTGAATCCACTGGCGAAGATCCCACACTATACCGCATCAATGGTGGAGGCAACCTGATGTGAACATCAGGGATGCAATAAATACTCATCAAAGTCGATCCGGAAGAGAGCCAACACGTCCATTGAGCCATTCCGGAAGAGAGCCAATTAGTCTTACACGTCCATTGAGCCATTCCGGAAGAGAGCCAATTAGTCTTACACGTCCATTGAGCCATTGCATGGCCAACTTGCATGCCAATCCAGGATACACGTGCAAGGGGGAATTTCAAGAAGTTAGGCGTGTTTTCTAGCCCGGGATAAAGTCAAAATTGCAGATAAAGAGTCGATTTTATCATAATCCTATCTTTTTAGGTTTAAGTTTCAATTTAAACATTTAAATTGCATAATAGGCGTTTTTAAGGAATGAGTTAGATTCAAATTCGGATTCCTTCCCTAAGAGATTATCTTTAGGCGTTTAGAAGGAAGGAGTTGGAGTCAAATTCGGATTCCTTCCCTAGGATAAGCTTTAGGCTTACGTTTATCTTGTTTTTAGGTTTATCTTATTTTAGGCTTCTATCTCATTAAGGATATGATATGACTTTTCAATTATTAAACCTTTTCAGCTTAAACTCGGCTATTTAAGGCTGAAAAACGAAAATTAATAAAGTTTTGATATTTTTATTCATATTGTGAGTTATTCTTATTGAGTTCTTGAAGAACTATTCCGAACTTATCAAGGTTTTCCTTGTGGCGTTCACCCTTGACTTATCAAACGGAATTTCCATACTCGTTTGTGGCGTCTTCACCATACCAAGGTTCTTGCTTTGCTAAGCATCGGGTCGCGGTTTCCATCAATTCTTGAAGATTTTAGATCGTATCCCATATTTGGCTACGGGTTTCATCACATTGTTGGTGGGGTTCATATCACAACCGGCCATAAACCGCTTGAAAAGTAGTCATGCGTGTGGCAGTATGGAAAGAAGTATTGTACCAATACTCGGACCAAGCCAACCACTTATGCCACTGCCCCGGCTTATCGAAAGTAAAACAATGTAAATAGGTTTCCACACTCCTATTAACCACCTCGGATTGGCCATCGGTCAGTGGGTGGTACGCCGTACTGCGCGAGAGGGTAGTACCCATCTTTTTGTGTAAGTCAGTCCAGAAACGGCTAAGAAAAACACAGTCCCGATCCGAAATAATGGTGCGAGGGACCCCATGCAGCCGGACAACCTCTCGGACAAACAGCGTTGCAACCTTCTCCGCAGAAAACGGATGCCTCAAAGCAATAAAGTGGCCATACTTGCTCAAACGGTCAACAACCACTAGGATAGTATCATAGCCCTCTGAACGAGGTAGGCCCTCAATAAAATCCATAGATATATCTTCCCACACCTGTTCCGGAATGGGTAAGGGTTGCAATAACTCTCCCGGGGCCAAAGTGGACGCTTTACACCGTTGACATATCTCACAACGGCCCACATACGCGGTTACATTTCGTTTCATTCCCAACCAAAACCAGTCGGCCGCAAGTCGACGGTAGGTCTTCAATCCCCCCGAGTGGCCACCCAACACTCCGTTGTGATAAGAATGTAACAATCGATGTACAATCGGAGACGTACAAGCCACCACCATCCTACCCTTATACAACAAACGGCCCTGTCGGATGGAATACCCCGGAAACACAGCCGGATTGTGAGGCAAACCCGACCAAATCTTGGCTAACCGGTCATCCTGCAACATCTGTTGGTGGATCTCTTCGGTGTTGACAAATGTGGCAGCTGTCATGGCGGCCATAGCTGGGCCAACCGCTACCCATGACAATGCATCCGCGGCTTTATTCTCAACCCCAGACCGATATTGAATCTCGAAGTCATATCCCAACAACTTGGTGAGCCACTTTTGATGTTCCATGCTAACGAGACGCTACTCCAACAAGTACTTAAGGCTACGCTGATCCGTTCGGATCACAAAATGATGCCCCAAAAGATACAGCCGCCACTTTTGAACGGCCAAAACAATGGCCATCAACTCTCGCTCATAAACTGACTTGTTCCGTGCTTGAGCGGGTAGGACTTTACTGAAATAAGCAATGGGCTGTTGATCTTGCATCAAAACTGCCCCAAACCAAATCCCGAGGCATCTGACTCAAGCACAAATGGCTTTGTGAAATCCGCACATGCGTCATAGTTGACTTCAACCTTTCAAAAGCCTACATTGCCTCAGCGTCCCAACGAAAATTATCCTTTCGGAGCAAATTGATTAAGGGCCCTACAATTTGACTATATCCGGCAGCAAACTTCCAGTAATAACCTGTCAACCCGAGAAATCCCCGTAACTCCTTCAAATCTATGGGAGGTGGCCAATTAACCATGGCCTCTATTTTAGTAGGATCAGCCGAAACTCCCTCCGCAGAAACAATATGGCCAAGGTACTCAATTGAACGCTGGCCAAAACTACACTTCTTAGCATTGGCATATAATTGGTGTCGCTGCAAAACCAATAATACCTGGCCAAGATGGCATGCATGCTCCTCCAAGGAATGGCTGTAAATGAGTATATCATAAAAAAAAACGAGTACGAACTTACGGAGGAAAGCGCGAAGGACGTCATTCATGAGCGATTGAAAGGTCGCCGGAGCATTAGTAAGACCAAAAGGCATAACGAGAAATTCGTAATGGCCCTCATGTGTACGAAAAGCTGTCTTCGGCACGTCCTCGGCTTTCATTCTAATTTGATGATAACCTGATTTAAGGTCGATTTTAGAAAACACCGTTGCGCCATGCAACTCATCCAAAAGTTCTTCTATTACCGGAATCGGAAAACGATCGGGAACCGTCTCCCTATTCAAAGCGCGGTAATCCATGCAAAACCTCCAACTACCATCTTTTTTCTTAACTAGTAATACCGGACTAGAATATGGACTGACACTCAGTTGTATTATGCCCGCCGCTAACATCTCCCCAACCAATTTCTCAATTTTTGTTTTCTAAATGTGAGGATACCGATAGGGTCTAACACTTATAGGGGAAGTTCCCTCTTTCAAAACAATTGCATTATCCTTAGTTCTAACCAGTGGTAGCCCTTCCGGCATTTCAAAAACCTCCCCATATATACTCATCACCCTTTGCAATTCCAGAGGAACTACCTCCTCCTTAACAGACTGTCTCACACCAAGAGCCCCTAACTCTACCCAAACCCCTTGTCCTTCATGCCTCAAAGCCCTCATTTAAGCCTTGAGCGTTACTGGTGACTTGTTCAATCCCGGATCACCTTTTAATGTCACTTGCCTCCCTCCCAAACCGAACTTCATGAGTAAGGTCTTCCAATTCACAGATACAACCCTCAAAGTTTCCAACCATTGGATACCCAATATCAAATCTGAACTTCCTAGTTCCAATGGTAAAAAATTTTCAACTATTTCAATTCCTTCCATGGAAACCAACACTCCCCGGCAAATTCTCTCTCCTCGCACCGCTAACCCGGTTCCCATCACCACTCCATAACCTCCTGTCCTATCCACCGGTAAATTCAATTTCTGAACCAAATCACAAGAAATGAAATTGTGGGTAGCCCCACTATCTATTAACACAATTACCTCACAACCATGGACGATCGCTTTAAGCTTCATGGTTTTCGGTGCTGTCAAACCCACGACTGAATTGAGGGATAATTCCACCATTTCTTCTTCTTCAGCCGTCTCAGTCTTCTCCACTTCTGCCTCACCCTGTTCCTCTTCCTCACGGACAATCAAGACCTGCAACTCACGATTCGGACAACGATGGCCAAAGAAATATTTCCCATCACACTGGTAACACAACCCCTTCTCCCTCTTAGCTTGCAGCTCGGCGTCAGTCATACACCGAAAGGGTGCTGCTCCCGTGACCTGGTTTGTTGTCTTCCGTTCGTCAAGAATTCTACCTTTTTCATTCGGAGCTCCATTAAAACGCAGACCACTAGTGGTCGTTTGGCTCCCTTTATGTTCATTAATTCCACTTCCTTTTCCTCAAACCGGAAACGTTGGGCCTTGGCCTTTTGGGCCGCGTACCATAAGGTTACCCTCTTCCACCCTCTGGGCTACCTCCATAATTCGGCCCAACCCAATCGGTTTCATCAGCCTTATCTCTGCCCGTACCTCAGCTTCAAACCGTTAACAAATGAACTCTCCAGAACCTGCTCGGAGATGTCCCTCAACGGCGCTGCCAGGACCTCGAATTGCTTCCGGTATTCTCTCACCGACGACTCTTGTCGGAGGGACAACAACTTCTCACACAAGCTGCCATCTTGCGTCAGCCGGAATCGCTCGAGAATCGTCACCTTCAATTCCGCCCAATTCCGAACCATCCGCCGTCCATCCTCCCATTGAAACCACACCAAGGCTTCTCCATCGAGACTGACAACTGCAACATCCAACTTTTCGTTCTCCGTTAAGCCGTTCACCGTAAAATATCTTTCAGCCCTAAAAACCCAGCCATCGGGTTTTCGCCGTCAAACATCGGCATCTCCACTCGCCTAGTCCGACAGTCCACGAGCGTTCCAGATTCACGCGGTTACCTGACTCTCTCGCTCGTCTCTTCCCCCGGCGTCGTCTGTCTCACCGGAGCTTCTACTCCAGTTGTCTGGGAATTCCGCCGTTCTTGGCGCTAGAGATTCATCAGCTCCTCCATTCTTGCCAGCAACAAGTCCATACCTTGCTCCAGTTGAGGAATCTTCTTCCATTCCTCTCGCACCTCCTCCAATTCCCTCGCAAACTCCTCTCTCGTTCCCTCGGTCTTCTCCTTCTCGCGATCATCAGTGCGTCTCGTCATACCGGGAAAGTGCTCTGATACCAAATGTTAAGCTCCTATTTCTCGGTTAGTAGTATTTTGACAGAATTCAAGGAAAACTAACAGAAAGCTTGATTTGTATTAATGGCGGAAGGTTGATTACAGGAAGATAAGGGGATTTTCGAGAGATCTCTTGCTCTCCTAGGCTTCCACTTCTCAGAAGTTTGTACAAATGAATCGATGCCCCTTTATTCTACCTCCTAATCTATTTATACTACTAACTCTTATTCATCTCACTAATTCCAAGAACTAACTAACTAGTAACCGCCTGCTGACTCAGCCACTTCCTATTTCCTCTCCCCGAGTACTTCCCTCCACCTCAGCAACCACTTGAGTTTCAGTTGCCAATCTTGGCTCGTGGTGGCGTTTCCTCCGAGCATATGTAAAACGCACGGGAGGCTTATCAGGTTCATGAGCTTTTAAACATGCCTTAATGAACCTGTTTGGTCAGAGAAGTGGGTCGTCATATTATTCATTACTCGTTCTAAAAATTAGTAAAGTAACATTTAGACAAACAAAAAAAGGTGGTAATTCCGGAAGAATCATTACCACGAGGCATGGAGGGGGAGGTCATTAAACATTTACACCATCAAAACAATTTTTACAGAATGAAAATGACATGATAGAACTGTAAACTATAGAATCAAACCTAGTCGAAATTCATACATTTGTCCATACACCATGGGGGCGATCAAAAAAGATACAATTATATAGGCAGTGCTGCAAAGCACAAGTTGTTGATGAATTTGCCAAAGGAGTAAACAAAAGAAGACTATCGATATGGATAATAGAATGTTTATCGCCATTGCAACTTCAAAGATCAATGATCTATCATCCAACGTCCATAGAATGTTTAATAGCTATTGCACCGCAATAACACAACTTAAATTAATGCAAAGAACCGAACAACACAAAAGCTCATTAAAAATGAAGTAACAAGTAAAGCAAAACCCCGTTACTGTTCTTTAATACCTTGACACATCAATTCTCTGCCACCTTCCGAAATCCAAGCTAGATAGCAAAACAACGTGCTTCTTACCACTAGCCGCAGCAAAATCAGCCAAGTTTTTTGCAAACTCAATGATCGTCCCCTGTTTCGTTGACCAATTCGAGAGTCAGAAACCTCCATTTCACACTCAAAATTTGTAGTTCCACCACAACAAACACATAATGAGAGGCCAAGAGGTAGATACATAAATCATGATAAGATAAGCGTGTCGAGCGTGTGAAGTCTAGTTTAGTAGGAGTATATTGGGGTTTTCACACCTGTTTTCAGTTCTAATTTTATTCATATTGCAGGCACCGATTTTGAGTTTTGAGTTGAGAGAAAATTCAGGAGAGTCTGTGAAGCATGAGGCTTGCTTCTCTTGTGATTTTCATATGCATCAAACCATCGTAGTAAAATTTAACACTGAGTAGCTGAAAGTGAATGTAGCTCTCTGTAAACCCATATAAATCTTGTGTCTTTATTATCTTACAATTAAGGTGTCTAATACTTAATAAAACCACTCGAACCAATGATAACTTCGAGAAAAAAAATTAAAAAAATAAAAATCTACCTTAACAATTGGGGACCTTTGTTGGAGAAGAGTCAATGCATTAGAAGGTGATTCATAAGCTGCAAACTCATTATTCAATTATTCAAAAACAGAAAAAAAAAAAAAAAAAAGTTTACTATGTGCTTCAAATTATAGAACTTGATAAACCCAAAACCCCAACTAGCTGATAAAATTTAATTCAAAAATAAAGTACCTTCGAGAGGAAGAGCAAGGTGGCCTTGAGGGGTAGGGACATAAGCGTCATTTCCAACACAGGGAAGAACGAAAGGAGTATCCAAATACCCAATTCTCTCTGCTCTCATCGTCGAAACCAGAAGATCCAACGCTAGTTGCCCCACATTTCCGATCGACAATGCTGGCTAAATTAAAAATAAAAACAAAAAACAAAATTAATATCGAAAGAGAAAGTTCTGGAATTTTCCATTTTCCATTTTCCATGATTCTCATACGTTTTTCATCAGAAAACCCTCCAAAAAAAAAAAGTTTAATTTAATAAAAAAGAAAAGCATAAAAAATGGGAATCGAACAGACCAGGACGAGAGTTGAGCATTCATCGTGAAGGTGTTTGCCTTCTTCAACAAAGAATTCCATTTGCTTTTTTTTTGGGGGTATCAAAATCCGTGGATGTTTCTCTGCGATCGGCTAAACTCAAGCAACCGCGAACTTCTTCGACTTGAACAAGAAGAAAGAAAGAAGGCTTACTTTTGGGCCTTCGTGTCGCCCAAATGAAAAATATGGGCTCCATTGAAATCAGCTCTGATTGGAATGCGGTCGTGTTGATGGGCTTGAAACATTGATATAAGATTTCTTTTTTTTACTCTTAATTAATATTTTTTTAACTAATATAATTTTTTAAGTAAAGAGTATTAATTAAATATAAAGGATAAAAATTTAAGACTCATATATTTTAAGAGGTACTTATCTCTTTTTTTTAGGGGAACATGAAGAGATAATTAGATGAACATAAATAGGAGAAAATAGCATACTGTAGATAGGATTGTTCAAATTAGCAATACCTATTTAAACTGATCCAATCAGATCCTTAAAGGTGCGAATAACAAACAAGTGTGGACTGAATGGGTTCCTATTTTCAAATCCGCATTTGTGCAGATCAGTTGCAAGATTGGGCAGTATTTTTAGAAGAATTAAATGCACAATATATTCAGAGTTAAAGCTCTCCCGAGCCCAATCTTATCTGAGTCCAATTTTACTTAAGTAAATCTCGTTCGTATGATGTTATTAAATGAAGTAATCAACTGTAATTGAAGATATTGAATTATTAAAGATTAACTCGCATTGATTGATTTATAGCTGTAACACTCAAAAAGTGAAGAGAAGACTAGTACAGGTAATATGGTAGCAACCAGAACTTTCGGTAACACAACGCAATACTTTTTAGTTTCATTATAAACTACCTTCAGTATGACAACAAGTTACCATTAGTGACCTAGTAGACAACAACCAACATGGAAGGGGTGGTTTTTTTTTTTTTTTTGGCTCTGAAACCAACATGTAAGTTGGCAGTCACTTATCATTGGTAACTTGTATGACGCTATCGGGGATATTTTTAGTATTCTATATTTTTTAGTCTAACGTTTTCTGCAATTCATGAATTGTGATTTTGGCACTTGTTGTAAGTGTCTTTTTGACTAGGGCTGTTCATGAATCCGTAAGCCCAATTTACCCTGCCCTAACTTAATTTGAAATATATAACTTCCAGTATTAAATTTTTTTTTTCAGCCTATTTAATGTCTAGTCTGAAGTTTTGAGGCGGTGTGAGTTAAACTTATAATGGCCCGTACACCTCAACTTAATCCACGCTCTAACTTATTTCTTATAATATCTAACCCTAGGTAGGTAACTTATTTCTACTCTCTAGTTTATTCATGTTTGAATTAAGCCTCTATATTTACTTTATGTTAAGACTAATTCATGAGTGTAGACTAATTTATGTTTGCTTTATATTTGATGTTGGATGGACTACTTTGCTTCATGTTTGATGTTGGATTGAACTTTGAATTTCTATCTATTTGAATATTGAAATTATTATTTCTATTTGATGATGAACTTTGAATGTTGGATTAAAGTTTGAGTCTTTGATTCTTTGAATGTTGAAACTGACCACTCAACCCACCCCCACCGTCCCAACCCAACCCAAACACTTTATGTTTGATGTTGGATGGACTACTTTGCTTCATATTTGATGTTGGATTGAACTTTGAATTTCTATGTATTTGAATATTGAAATTATTATTTATATTTGATGATGAACTTTGAATATTGGATTAAATTTTGAGTTTTTGATTTTTTAAATGTTGAAACTGACCACTCAACCCACCCCCACCGTCCCAACCCAACCCAACCCAACCCAAACATCATTGGGTTGTAAAATTTTTCTAACATTGTTAGGACTAAATATGTGCAACCCGTACCCTTTAAGGCAGGGGAAGAAAAAACTCTACCATGCACCAACACAACCCATAAACAACCCTATTTTTAACACCCATAAAGATTTATGCTCCTCCTCATCAAAGATCATGAGGATGAGATTTCCATTCCTCCCCTTTTCCCTTCATTTTTCTATGATAGTACGTACCCTTACTCTATAAAAAATCTCCTTATTTAGTTGCGTTAGTCACCGGTGACCGGCGCTACTTGACAAAGGTGGATCGGATGACATCAATGAGTGACCACCTATTATTTTGTTGAGACTGGTCGCCAGAATAAGTTGGTAACCACTGTAGTGAATCTCAGCTGCTGGAGTTAGTAGATTACAATCATTCGTATATCAACATCAATCAAACGAGCACTACTGTCACCCACTGAATTTTATAGTTAGAATTCATTAGTGCCGAAAAATACTTCATTCTCTCTTTAAATTCTTCATTTGTACTGAAAAATATTGAGAAAAAATCAAAAAAATGGAGTTTTTCCTCCCAATCTCCGCCCCTTATTCCGGCCGCCGCCGCCCTCTCATTTTGCTGCCTTACCGTTATCCAACCCCCGGTGTTTGTGGGTTTAGATTTTGTGAGTTAATGTATTGGTATTTTGTTAATTGATTTTGGTATTTTTGTTATGGTTTATGGTTTTGTTTTAGATTTTGATTTTAGTTTGTGGGTTTGAATTTAGAATTGTGAATTGTAAATTAGAATTGAAATTGAAATATGTGGTAATTAGATTGAAATTTGTTTAGTGATAATTATGTGATGATTAAAAAAATTAGATAAAAATTTTAATTAGGATTATATTAATAATTAAATAATTAAATAAACTAATGTTAAATACTTATTATAAAATAATTTGTGTTAATTTTCATAAAATTTTATAAAATTTTATAAATTGTTTGTAGTGGAGATGCCTATGGACAAGAGTTGGATACATTTAAGAAAGTAGTTGTCTGATGAGTACTTGGATGGTTTGTGTGCTTTTATTGAAGTTGGAAAGAAATATGCAAATTCAACCAGGGTATTAGTTATCCGTGTATTAAGTGTAGAAATCATGAGATGTTGCCACCAGAAACAGTGAAAGCGCACATACATCGATGGGGTTTTGATACAAGTTACACCACATGGATTCACCATGGTGAAGTACGTGATGCTGTTGCAGTTATCAGTGAACCTGTTGACGAGATGTTTGCAGTGCTAAATGATGTGGCTGGGATTAGTGATTATCATGAGACAATGGGTGAGACAAAAACAGTTATAGAAGATACTCATTACGATGAATTTAGAGATCTCTTATCCGAGCTCTGCTACTTCTGGATCATTTGCAACAGGAACAGTTAACGAGGAGGATATTATGGAGCAGTTTATGGGCACCCGCAGAGGACATAAGACTAGAGTGGGTCGCACACTCCCACAAAAAGTTTATCGAGGGGATGCGTCGTCCTTTGGCTCACGCTTGGTAAGATATTCTACGACACGTTCTGACCCACGCGTAGAAGAATACTTGCAACAGAGTTACCATCAAAACCTCCAGTTGTACGAGAGCGTTAGAATGATGCAGGATTTCATCACTCAAATGCACCATAACATGACTTTTCCAGCAGTTACTCATGTGTCGTATGTCCGTCCAGGTCATCTGTCTTCGAATCCTTCTGATGATAATAACGATGATTCTAGTGATGCTGCTAATTTAAGAGATTAGATTTTTATTAATGTAACAATTTGTATTTCCGCACATTTCTACTATAATTACATTTTTATTTTATTAATTACTTTTTACAATAATAATTTTTTATTTTTTATTTCTTTTTATTTAATTTTATTATTATTATAATATCATGAATTATATTTAATATTGGGTTTAAATATATAGTAATATACAACATTAATTAATAAAATAATAAATAAAAATATTATTTGCGACGACAAATGTAGTCGCAAAAACTATAAGCCACGTCAGCTAAATCTGCATCTTTTGTGACAACTTAATTCGAAAAATGTTATTGTAAAAACTTAATGTCATGTCATCTTAACAATGTAACTGACGAAATAATTACAGCGACTTATTTGCGACGATTGTCGTTGCAAATATAATTGCGACGATTGGCTGTCATCGCAAAAATTGTTTTTGTGATGAATCAATTGCGGCAGCAAATTTGCGATGACAAGTGGTCGCTAAAACTTCATTTGCGACAATTTTACATTTGTTATAATGACTTTTTATCGTCACTAATAGTCATGTTTCTTATAGTGGCTTGTGTGATCAACATGGCCATGTGTGAGACTGAGGTAAGCAGGGTGAAACACCGCCGAGCCTCACGGGAATTTAACGCTGGTAAAGTGTGATGTTCATATTTGTGCCATGACGGTGCCGGTTAAGGACAGAAAACAATTATAGGAATTTCGTCCATAAACTCACAAAGTTTGAAATTAAAAAAAAAAAAGTGCATTAATTAAAAGAGAGTTAAGAATGCATAAATCTAAACGAGAGCAAGGCAGAAACTGAAGAGTCTAATCACAAGGCCGAAGTGGGACCTATTGGATTATTCTGTACTACATCACTTATTGTTGTAGATAATGCATTCTATGGTGTCTGCTACATTTTTTTTTTTGGCCAAGAATTCAAATTTCGCTATACAAATCCATAATTTTGTACATAGACGCTTTTCCTTGTGCTCAATGTGCATTTTAAGAAGACAAGGTTCTCTAGAACTTGGGTCATTAGATTACATTGAACATTTTAATTTATCTTGGAAGTAAGAGCAATAATGCTGCCAATACAATTTTTGCTCGCGCGCATTGAAAGAGAAATGAGATATAGTATCTATAGTCAAAATTTTATTTGTTTTTTAATATATCTATATAGTCAAAAATCTATTTAATTGTTTTTTAGGAGAGTTTGAGAAATAAATTATTTTTGGTGGCTCTAATTTATGCTTATGATTTTCGTTTTTACATGACCAGTTTGTTGTGCTGGAGGGAGAGATCTGCTACGCGGTGCAAAGTGGTTAACCATGGATCACACAGTCAAGTCGTTGACCCTAAATCACCAAAATGCGAAGTAAGTTATTTGCGTTAGCGATATCATTAGAACCACATTTCACAATTATTGATGCCTTCTCAACAATTATCCACACATTGGAGTTTAAAATGACAAGTCTATCTATCTATTGTCTACACGTCAATCCTATAAAATCCAAAA